TCTCACCAAAGGGCCATGCAGCAGAACAGCAGTTCTACAGCCCTCCAGGCTGAACACCCTCTGACAGTAGCAGCGCTGCTTCAGAGGGACCCGTCCTGCCCTAGGACACAGCTCTTGCTTTGCGCTCTGCAGCAAAAAATTGGCTCTGCCTGGCATTCCAGCCCCTGGAGGAGAGGGAAGCATGGGCTATAAGGGAAACATTGACTGCACACTGAACATACTTCACTGGCCCCTTGGGAAAAGTCACTTTGCCAGTTCACAGCGTGGGGGATCAGCAGCAGGCTTACCTCTGGTCCAGTTCAGGCTCACCCCTAACTAACCACATGGAGTCGCAAAGACTTCTGCTGGCCAGCCTTTCAAACAGCATTCCCTTTTGCTGGGTTGCCTCCATTAGGAGCCTCAACTGCAGACAGCAGATGATGCTGGTGTCAGTGGCCCAGACCCCAGCTGGGCTCAATTACATTTGTAGGTGACCTGCACCGCTGATGCTCGGGCCCAAGTGCCTCGCGTTAGGCATTGAGATGAGGACATCACACTGCCTGCAGGACTGAAAGGTTTAACTCTTCTGAGAGGAAGCATGTGGCAGAAGGAACGCTAACGTTTCTCGTGCTATGGGTGACCCTGCAACAACAGCAGCTCTGACCTTCTCGAGTAAGTTTGCTTTACGTTTCACCTCCCTCGCACACGGACCGACAGCTTTTCTTTCTAGCTCTGCATCGGTTTTTCCCCCGTTACGTACTCCCAACGCAGTACCTTTTCCCCTTTGGTGCTCCTCGGCTGCACTGAGAGGCTCCTGCCCCCCGCGGTCCTCTTCCCCCCCCAGGCCCCCCTGGCCCTCGAGCAGAGCAGCCCCGCAGAGCTGCAGGGCCACGGCCGCAGCCCCCGCCGCGAAGGCACCGCTCGCTGCTGGAGCGACGCTGCTCTCTGCTGGGCGACCAGCGCCTGTGCGGGCTGCTGCCTCGCTGCTCCAGCCTGCTGCCTTCTTCGCCTTTTTTCTTTTTTTTTGCGGGGGGGTAGTTTGCGGGAGTCAACGTGCCTAGGCGGGGATAGTCTCTTCTTAGCGTTTTACCGAGTCAAGTCACGCTTGTGTTTGAGAGGCAACCGGCCACAGAGCATTCACACAAACACACAGACACCTACAATCCCCTTCTGACCGTTGCGTGCCCAGCAGGAGAGGTCAAAAGCAGTTTTCGCCACGTACAAATATTCAGCCTTGTGCACAGCTCCAGCGTGCTGCCGGTTTACCTCCCTTACCTATGCACGCGCAGGACACAAATGGTCCAACCTCCTTTCTTGCCCCAAGGGCTTTATTCACTTGTTCTCGGAGGCTTCATCCCCTCTTGGCTCCCATCACAAGCAGGACCAGGTCTCTGACTGCCTCCCAGCTGGGTTTCTGCTCCATCCAGACAGCCTTCGGGCCACCTCCTCCAACAGCCCCCGCCACCTAGTTGGTTTCAACATTTCAGGGCTCAAGTAGTGTCCTGAGGCAAGGCAGGAGCCCCCAGACCTTTCTCACTGCTGCCCACCAGCCGTGAGCATCTCCAGTGGCTTCTGAGGGGGTCAGCCTCTCGGGTGCCCACTAATACTTGCTGTCAGTTATGCTGTTACAGTTGGATCTGGTCGCCGAATAAGATGTCTCCCTTTCAAGCACCTCAGGCCTTTCATGGTTTCTACACATCCCAGAAAAACTCTCCAGTTTTCCCCTCATTGCTGGTTTCAGGAGACACCCCGGAGATTTGAGTGTTTCCCATTTTCCCCAGCCATTCCCTGGATGAGGTACCGCACAGGCCAGGTCCAGGAGAAGATGAGATTTCCACGTCTCCATGGGAAGAGTCTTGTGACTCTTGCTCTTACCCTCACCCCTGATTTCACTGCACCGGAGTCCTGCCTGCAGCCAGTCCCTGTGCAGTGGGGGGGTTGCAGCACAAAGCCCCCGCGTCCCCGTGCCTGGTTCCCTTTCCCTGCCCAGAAAGCCACTCTCCTCTGTATCCTCAGTCAAGCTGTCATTGCTCAAAGCCTCTGCTCCAGACACCTGAAGTGTGTCCCCTGCAGAGAAAGAGTCCAGGATTTTGCTGACAATGGTGGGTATCAAAGGAAGAACTTGCAGAGCCTGCAAATATCCTGAAGTGACTGCCGCTTAAATGGTTTTTTTCCACGATGTCTGTCCCACGCCCCTTCCCTGGCATCTGCACCCCACACCCAGCTGCAGGGCTCTGGTCCCCTTTTACAAACTCAGATGTCCCCAGTGTGCCCCTGATTTTCCCATTTCCCCTCACAGGCCGTGAAGTCAGCCACGTGCCTTCGAACCACTTGATGCTCTCTGGTGTTTGTTTGCCACCTTTCCACCTGGCTGCCATTTGGTGCTTTTCATCCACAGCACAACATCTTTCTTACTGAGACTCCTCAGGAGTGGAGCAAGCAGGCCTTGTTCTCTCCAATCTTCACACTGTGCCACCTGCTGACCCAATCTCTCCAGTCCTTGGGAAATGCCACAAGATCCTCCCCTTGGAAGTACCTCAGGAAAGGAGATCTTTCCAGGCAGTAATGGCTGGTCACTATGGGTGATTTCATGAAAACATCTTGGCTCCTACTGCTCAGCTGGGGTTCAGCAAGTCATGGTCTTCCACTGGAGTCTGATGGGTCCCATAACACTGTGGGAACATGCTGGGATCTCTCCTATCTTTGCCACCGCTGTGAAAGGGCATCTCCTGCCCAAGGCTGCAGCTGGAGAGTTGGGACCCTGGAGAGAGGACTGCCGGTGCCCGGGGGAAGCCCAGCCCCACCACCTCGTCATCCTCTTCAGGTCCCCGAGACAAGCAAGAGCTGGTGGATCCCTTGCAGCCGTGACACTCCTGCAATTTTATCAGCTGGAGGATGTGAATGCAAGAAGGAAAACCTCTAATGCTAAATTGAGGACCAAAGTGATCCCAGGCTGGATGTAAGGGAAACACTGAAATACCTCTTACCTCTACCATTGAGCCTTTCCCTGGTCACAGTGGAGAGTAAACAAGCCTTTTGCCCAAATTCAACCTTTTCTTATGAACAGAAGTTGGTCACATAATCCACACGTTTTCTTGGGCAAAACAAGGTTAAATCTGGATTTTTTTTTGTGCACTGGAGTTTTTTTCTCAGACTGGACCTCTGCAGAGCTGTCCGGTCTGTCCAAACAGTTTGGGAGCAGTGACGAGTTTAACACTTGCCCTTAGAGTCAGAAGAGACTCATGCTTAGACACAGACATCACTGGGATATGGGGAGAAGTGACACTCTCAAGCAAGATAAAAAATAGCTGTTTACTCAGTCAGATCTCAGTGCGTGAAAAACTCCCTCCAAGTCCTTGCAATGTTTGGATTTTTGCTAAAAGCCACAGAAAAACCACGCAAGAGTGCTGCTGCCAGGGCTTTCTGTACAGGTGCACTGGCAGCTGTTCAACCCAGAAAGTGGGCACTGCTGGAATTAATGTTGTGAAATGAAAAGAAACACAGACACAGACATCCCTCCGAGCCAAAAAAGCGTTGACTACAGCTCAGAGCACGTGCACGCACAGAGCTGCGGGCCAGCTTGCACGGTTTGGCATCCCTGCTGCTCCAACCCCGATGGAGCTGCGAACACGATGGGAGAATTCGCAGGAGGATCTATCCTGTTGCATTTGAACGGGGAATGAAATCAGGGATTATTTGTTTTTCCTACTTAAACGCAAAAACTCATTGCCAAGCTATAACTGGAAACAGTAACAGGTTGTGAGGCTTTTAAAGAGGAGAAAAAAAAGCTGTTTGGCTAACGTGAGTAATGTTTCTCGGCATTTGTAATGAAGTTCAGCTACTGATTGTTTCTCCATCTAGAAAAGAGTAATTTCCACTGAAGAAGCGCAGGGAGCAGCATTTCAACAAACAACACTTCATCGGCATCACTAACACGCTCTCGCTTTTCTGCTCACCTCCAAACCCCTCTCCTTCGCCTTCCTTTATTGCAGACATAAGAGGTGATAAATCCTTGTTCTCCGGCCAATGTAAAACGCGTTGGGGCTGCGCTTCTTGGGCAGAGAAACTTCTGTGAGGTGGCAGAAAGGAGGGAGAGGGCAGAGAGGGAGATCCAGCCCCTTGCTAGACTGCCTGCTGGCGATGTGCGGGCTCCTCACCACGTCACCCAGCCTCAACGGTGGTCCCAAGAGCCTCTGAAACATGCTTACCACTACAAATTCCTCTAGGCTTTCCCTAGGGAAGGAGTACCGGGACATCATTAGAACAAAAGCCCTTTGCTTGAGCATTCAAGGCTAAGAACTGTTTTTTGTAGGATTCCACCTAAGTGGTTCAGCCAAGACCAACAAGCCTGTGGCATAAGGAAGGCTGGAGTTTCTGATTCCCAGCCCCTCGTGTCTATTTTTAGCTCTGAAATCAGATAATAAAAATCAAAACCAACCAGGCAAACACAGAACCTGCTGAAAAATAGCAGTTGTGTACTTTTGGCTTTCTTCCACAGGTAGCTACCTTTAAGTAATAATAACAACAAAAAAGACACAGAGAGAATAAATGAGTGAATAACTATTTTTTACAGGCTTGTCCTCTGGGCGGTTAGGAAACCTTCACATTTTCACATCACGCTCCTGAGGAGTGACTGTCCACCCAAAGGCAGATGCTGGGATTTCTTCAGATCTTCAGATGCCTCTTATCCCCTGATGTACCTACACTAGTTTTCAGGAAGCAGTAAGAGTACCAGCCTGCTTGTTCTTTTTAAGTTTATTTTAACCCATTCAGCAGCAGGATGAAAACTTTTGAGTTCCCAGTAAATTACAGTAATGGCAAAACAAAATAATTTGAGATTCATCAAGCTGAAGGCTTGACATTTTTATTCCAAATTTTAGATGGCAACAAACAATCCTTAGCACATGTTACCCCTGGTAATAAGATCATCTTTGGGTAACCAAGAACCAACTTTCAGTACTTCAAAAATAAGAGAAAGAGAGAAAAAAATTACATTTTTATTGTCGAACTTGCACAGGAAAGCATATTCCTGGGCAACAAATTGGCCCAAAGCAATGACAAACCAATGATAAAATGAATAAACAAATATTTGCAAAATTTCAAGGGAAAATCCACTTTTTCATACATATCTAATTAGGTTAGTCTATTTTAGCATGTATCCTGTGGAAAAAAAAAAATTTGATCACATTGTCAAAAAATGTGTCATCATACAAATGTATCAAGAAGCTTCTTTAATTTTTTAATGCTAGATTATTTTAGGGGTTTGAGCATGAGAGAGTGAATCTTTTGATGTTATTTATAGTTTAGTAGTGCCCAAAGTGCATTGGAGGTCATAAAAACATAGCAGGATGCAAACATTTATTTTAAGCTATCTTGCTTTGAAGACTTTACAGAGCACCCAGAAATGGCTGGGTGCCTTTTTTCATTGCAGAATAATAGTAGCATCTGTAGAGAGGCTAGAACACAGCTATAATGAATCACTTTGAAACTGGACAACAGCATGGATTTCAGTACAGAAAAAAACCTCAGAGACATTTTTATGGCTTAGAGGACAAACTGAACTAGCCCAGAGACAATGTTTTTATAGACTCTATTATCTTTCAGACTTGACCTAAAAGCTCCATAAGAAGCAAAGTTATTTAAAATAATTTGATTTTTAAGTTATGTCCATAAACTATAACTTTGTCACAGGCAGTGGCAAAGTGACAAGTAGTACTGTTCGCACTGTCGTCGCTAAATATTTTGTAAAATGAGGTAAGTCCTCATTTTAATACCAGCACTTGAGTCCATCTATTAAAACTAATCCCTAAAGTGAAAAACAAATAACCACAAGCTTTGAAGTAATTGATTAATTAATTTGGGCAATTTCCTGGAAATCGGGATAATAGACATAGAGTAACTTTTTTCAAAATTTGAAATGTGTTTTGAAAAAAAGGTAAATTTTTAACTGCTAAAATTATGTGTATAGATAATATGAAATAAAAACTTAAGACATTGGCAGCTTTTAAGGAGCGATCGATTGAATGTTACAAAAATGAGAGGAGCAGAGGTGTATCAAGGCTCCTTACAAAGGATTCCTTATGCATTTTTAGGGTGTTTTTAACAAGCCTTTGGGATTCTCTCTCTTCAGAACATCTTTTCTGTTAAATTCTGCCAGAGGGCTTTAGGGAACTAGCGTTGCCATCCGGGTCTGTAGGATTCTTTCCCATGAAAGACATTTGAAGAAAATGATTGCCAGCAATATTGAGAAATTTGCTGTCTCTGATCAAAGCTGTTTCTCGAGGCCAGCCACAGTTTGCTGACCTACTTTGGACAAGGATTTATTCCGACATCCCAGGCTACAGCCCACCCCCTCTGAGGCTGCCGGGAGAGCCTGACATGCAGCTGCTGACGGGACAGTGATTAATTTGATTGTCACCAGCACAGTTCTGAAGATAAGGCTTGTGCAGGAGGCACATAAAAGGAAACTCAGCGCAGCCACTTGGGTTTTGCTGCTAAGAGAGTGAGGGAAGCAGAAAAACAAATCCCAGCGCTATTTAAGACTTCAGCCAGCCGAAGGCAAGGCCAGCCTCTCCAGCACAGCAGCGCTGTTTGTACTGGTCTGCTGTCACGGGTTGGGTATGGCATGGTATAACCGGCCTGGGGAGGATCACTGGTAATAGGTGGTTGGTCCCTCAGTGGGTGTGAAGCCACCGTGCCTCACCCAGAGCACCAAGAAGACAGCGGGATCAACAGAGGGAGTGCGTCACGGGGGTGTCCTTCTGCCTCACCAGTCAACCAGCTGGTTCTTCAAACCACTTTGACTATTTACACTGGTAGACGCCGTGAAGGTGCACGGCAGAGCCACAGGGCAAAACCAGGAGGTTGCAAAGTGGGGTTTTCAGATTATGATGAGCTACACTCTGTGCACGTAAGCCTGACCCCATGACCTAGGCAAGAAAACCTGTGGGTCAAATGGTCAGCCACTGTCAACTGGAAGTAATTTCCCTTGCTATCTACGGAGGTGTGCGGGTGAAATTATTACAAGACTGCAACTACTTTGTGGCAACCACAGTGACAGTACAAGGGATACTGCTATAATTCGTAAAGTCTAATACAGGCATTTATGATATTGAATCACAGGACCTGATTCCCTATTATCTTGCTCCTTTTGTCATCATTTCAAGCCGCTCCAAAGAGACTGTGCGATGTTGCAAAGCCATCTCTCCAACTAATCTACCAGTAATGTTTACTCTTGTTTTGCACATCACTGTCAAACTGGAATGCGACAGAGACACTTTCCCACCATTTTATGCCTTCCAACTTCGTAGCACAAAGCTGCTTGTCCACAGACATATCTGAAGGAGATATCATGCAGGAGGTAAGATGAGGTTTCAAGACCCTACACTGAGGAATGGAAGACTCCTAAAACCATGCCAGTCCAAATCCCAAGATGATAGTCACATGTGCAGTAAATGCTCCTCCTACAGAACAATCAGGCAACATTATACATGTTTCAACTGAAGTTGAAAAAAACAGCTGAGTAGCAAAGCCTTCAGGATAAAAACGTTCTCCAGTGGCACCTACTTGGAGTGCTCACCTGAGCGAAGGTGTGAGCCTAGCCCTTTGGGTAAAACCTAGTCTGTGGCAGAGTCTTATGCCAGAGGTTGTGTCAAGATAAAAATGGGAAATGGTGCAAGAAGTTTTGAAAATTATAATGAATTACACATTCTTACAACAAATATAGCAGAAATTTTTTTGCCAGGGATTTTTTCAGCCAACAGGAAAAAATGAAGGAATAATATCATGTTTTCATGAAAATACCTGAAAGGATGAAACATGAAATCTAGTCTAATCTAGCCTATTTGTTAAAGAAGATCAGGCTTAATTTCAAGTATATGAACATATATGACACTATGATAGAGCTAGTCAATACCATTTATCTTTTTTCTTGTAGCTCTGAATGAGAATTGTCTGCAATTGTTTGCAGGCAAGAAGAGGTTGGTTGTTCACCTCTGGTTCAGATGAGAATTTGGCTTCGTCTTGAAATTCGAAGGGAAAAATATAATGCTTTTCTTGGCAAATTATTATTAGAAATCAGAAATTATTTTCCAAGTAGGGATTTTCAGGATTCTTTTCACTGGAAATCTTGGGTTTCTCAAGAAGCAATGCTTATACAAGCAATGATGTCTTGAACAAAGACTCTTTAACAGTGCTGTGTAAGTTTTCCAACCATTATTCATTCTATTAAAAAGAATTTGGCATTTATAGAAGCTCCATCTCCCCTGGCTGGCACTGTTTCCTTATTACAGATTAATTCCCTGCCAAAAAATGGTTTGTTTTTATCTGATGATCCAAAGCAGTTCCTTTGATAGAACAGTAAAAGAATTTAATCATTTATTTATTAAAGTAACCCACGATTTGGAAGAGGAAAAAGAAGTAGGCAACTGGTTTCTTGTGAGGCTTCAGAGGTGAAGTACATTGTTATAATAACCAGATACTTGGAGTTTGCTCAAGTTTATACTATTTATACATTAAGATCTAATTAAATCTTTTAATTTTAAAGAAAATCTGTTGGCTGATTTCCCAAAAGCATGTAAAGCTCCTATGGACAAACCAGGTAGTGGGAATGCTTCCAAGTTTTTTCCTTACAGCAATATCATTTGGGGAATGCAAACTTAGCTGTGGGAAAATATTCACAACTGAAAGTTAAGGTCAGTGTCCAGTAATATGTAACCATAAATATGATAACAGATATAAGCTGAAAGGTGTGCATTACCTCCCTGATTTTATTTAATTATGCATGTAGTGCTATGTTTGTGTTCTGTCAAGTAGAGTTTGGTAGTCATGCAATGTGGACTCTCTCCAAAGTTTGAATACATCTCTAACTCCAATAAACAGTCTTACATTTTCCTGCAGTCTGGTATCCCCCCACAGAACAGCTATTGAATATGACCTGCCTCCAATTAACATGTCGCTCTGAATCATAGCCTCACAGTAAGGATCCAGTGAGCTCAGCTTTTATGGAGCTGAAGCCATCCTGCAGACAACACTGAGATTTGGCCAACATAAAAAATGGGCAATGAAGGCTAAGGGTGGAGTTTAGTATTTCACATTACTGCCATCTGCTATAACATAGGAATCAAAGACCATAAACAAAACTCTGTAAGTGGACTGCTAATTCCCAGAGCACTGATAAGGGTGCTGTGATCCAAACTAATCACTTGCACAGTGATCCATTACTTATGAGAAAT